ACTATTAGTCTAGCTAGATTCATCCCACATTGCTATCCGAATGTCGTCAAGATCCCTTATGAGGGCATCCATATCCGGCATACTGTGCAACTGATCAAGGTAGGGAATCTCCCTTGAATGAAACGACACATGAGACTTGTACACTCTGGGTCTAACGGGAGGTGGAGTCTGCATATATGGAGCATGCTCATTGGTGGCATCATGCTCCCTCGTGAAATCACGTTTATCATTCTCATACTCATCATTATCACCCTCATCAGGGAAGGGTGTGTCATCTCCAAACTCATCAGCATTGTTGTCATAATCACTATCATCTTCCTGACTATGTGCATCTGCCAGATCCCGATTAAATATATCGTTTTCGGGCAGTTGAGTAAGGACAGTATCTTCAAGTTGCTCATTTTCACTGCACAACAAATAAAATAATGAGTTTCTCAAATTCATCCAAACATTACATATAAACTTTATCACTTAACTTACAAATCATAATCTGTTGATATCCCATGATGCACATTATCTTGTTATTGATGACTCCCATATGGACCACCATGATCCAACACACCAAAACTAGGCATATTCCAACTGTCAGTTGGTTCATAACTTGTAAAATTCATATCTGTCCGTTGGTTCATAACTTGTAAAATTCATATCCCTATTTTGCGAAACCTCAATATTGCGAACGTCTTCAGCCTTGACGTACTTTCCCAATATTTTTATCACAAGAAGTTCCCGATTTTCATCCGGATTTCTCAAAAAATCTGTCAGAGTTTCATCGTGTTCGATGTTAAACTCAGCATCACAAGCAACCCCTTGCGGAGTAACAGAATTCGGATATCTTCCGGTTACTTTAATATTAACCGAATGTTTCCTCACACTCATTTTTTTTTACATAACAACGAAACCAATCTACCGTACTCCATTGTAAGTGGCAACTTAATAATACACTGTGGAGAATAACTATAGCGTACTAAGTTATTCTTCACCACAACCTCACCCCCACCCCCACCCCCACCCCCCAATATAATGCAATCCTAATTTTTCGCTCTTCGGACATTATGACAAAATGTAAAATAAGTTAAGCAATTAAATATTTTGGAAGACCTGAAGGATCCTGAATGGATTTTTACCGAAATTCTAAAACTCCTTAAATAAGCAAAAAATCAGTCTGGGGGTACAATAATTGAGGGTATAGCGCATGCATAATACGCGCTATATATGTAGCGCGTATTATGCATGCGTTATACCCTCAATTATTTATGAGTCAGTAAAGTTCAAATCAATTATTGGTGGGCCAGTAAAGTTTACATATAGCGCATGCAACACATGCGTTATACCTTAACGGACAAACGTGTCGTTAAGGTATAGCGCATTGAACACATGAGTTATATATAAATTGGTCATCAGTTATTTTTCACCTATTTTGTGCTTTGAATCCAAAAAAGCAACACTTTGGTTCCGGACTCAAGTAGTAGGTTCTCATGATATTCTGAAGTGATATTCTCGAAATTCGTTCTCCAAGATACATTACTCACGTAAAATCTGTCTACGTGTACTTTATTTTTCCCCAATAGCAACATTTCGAGAAGTATTTTGAAAAAGAATTTTTAGTCAAAAAGAAACTTGGCCAAACAAACTATTAATCTTCTCAATTTGATAAAGACACCACCACCGCCTCGATAAATATGTACCTCACCGACCTCAATCCAAAAAATTTAAGCTTAAAAATTTCAAATTAAAGTAAATGATCAAACATGTATCTATGTATAAGAAATGCATGTCTTGCATGCATTGATCGGTGCAAACACGAATAAATTTCTTCTCCTCTCCCATCCCATATAAGTAGATTTACCCAGAGCTTCCTGCCACTCATGTCTCTCTGCAATAGCTCCTAAATGACAAAATCAGGAGAAATGGACTAGAGATTTGAGGAGGCGTTGTGATACATTTTGGTGTCTATTGCGGCGACAAGTAACGAGGACAGGAAAAAGAATGATAAGAAAAACGGAAAAGGGCCTAAAATGTCCATTTATTATATGAAATAGGACATGCTAGCCCTTCGTTAAAAGTTGGTCTCTATTCTGCCCTTGACGTCAACAAATGGGCTCGTATATGCCCTCCATCACTAACGGAAGACTCATAAAGCCACGTGGAATATTTGTGAGGGCAAGTTAGACCTAGTTCGAATTGTACAAGGATATATATGAGTCAGTTATAATAGTCATTTCTCAAACACTTCATAATTCCATATCAGTTTACTTAGACACCCATTTGACAACACCAAGCTATTTATTATAACAAATAAACTCAGTCATAGACACAACAAATGAACGGCAATGACTTCATTAAATCCTTGTACAAAAACATAATGCTTCATTACATAATAAAAGACAACAATTAAGCCACAATAACACTAACATTACATATCATTTCCCACGGATCCAAAGAACATAACAAAACATCCCAATATCACACACATGAAAATCTACATCTTCTTCCAAAATTTAGCATCAAGCACAACTGAGTACTCTAAATTGGTCACTTACTTCATTAGAACATTTCTTTCCAATTCTAAAGCTTCTATTCCTCCATGATCGACGAGCATCATAACATTATCAAGATCAAACTTTCCTTTGGAGAGCATATGAGATTTGAACTGCATATGAGATTTGAAACTCTAGGAGGAAGCTCTTCATCTTGCCATTCCCAATAGGAATATTTTTCATCCTAAAAACCAAAAATAAATAAAATAAATTTACAAGCAAATCGAAACAATTAAAAGAACCCATCAAAACATTTGCTTACCTCATGCTTCTGGCACTTGAAAAACCTTCTCCCAACATTTAAAGGAGTCCATGCCATGAAATAATTGGCAACAAGTCCGCAACGACACCTCCTATTCGACCCCTTTGAGCTACTAGAATATTCCGACATTGTCTTTTGTTATGATTCGACCCCTTTGAACTACTAAGATTTAATGAAATCATTGCCATTCATTTGAATGTTTGTGTCTATGACTTAATTTATTTGCTGTGATAATTAATTTTGTGTTGTCAAATAAGTGTCTAAGTAAACTGATATGCAGTTGTGAAGTATTTGAGAAATAACTATTATAACTGACTCATATATGCCCTTGTACAATTCAAACCAGGTCTAACTTACCCTCACATATATTTCATGTGGCTTTATGAGTCTCCCACCGTTAGTAATGGAGTGCATATACGAGCCCATTTGTTGACGGAAAGGGCAGAATAGAGACTTAACTTCTAACGGAGGGCTAACCTGTCCTATTTCATATAGTAAGGGGACATTTTAGACCTTTTTCCGTAAGAAAAAACACTGGGGACCGCCAAAAACATGTCTTTGCTTTTATTTATAGTTATTATCATACACATTGCAGTAGACTTGGTTAATCTGTAAGGAATACAATCCATATTCACTTTATGTCTCCTTTTTTTTGGTTATCTTTTGTTATTGTTTTTATTTGGGGTATTTCATTTTATGGTTCAATATGTATATCCATGTCCCCTGCCTGGAATGTCGTGTCTGCATCTCAACTCCAACGTATATCACCAGGGGAATTTGCACTGAAACAGCCAAAAGAAAATTATAATTAAAACAAAAGATGCCTGAAAATGATAAGTACATAAATAAAGCAAATAAAATGGCGACTTCCATAATATAGCTACTTGATTCTTCACCCACCATCAATGGCAAAAGAAGAATGTTTTTCTAATTTATTCATTTATTCATCACCTACGATTCGGATAAATCTGTTTAACAGCAAGAAAACCATATACTCCCTTTTCTCGTTTTTCAGAATTAACAGGGTAGAGTCATCAATTCTAACTTCCAAGGATCAATTCATATATAAATCTCCTAATGATGCAAGAAGTAGCGGGCAGCAAAATAAGATGCAAGAAGTGGAGCAATATCGTGAAATTACATCCATCTTCCCTAAGTAATGACATGACAAGTGAATCCAGCTCACTCAAGACAAAATTGGGAACATAAAATTTGAACTTTCTTCAATTCCTTTTCAAATAAGTCAAGCCGAGCCAGTGCCCAGGCCTAGACAAAATCAGCTAAATTGCAGTGTTTTCTTTGAAGGACGAATGCTAGCTAGAGAGCTTCTCTGGGAAAAGCATCTCGTCTAAAAAGGGGCTCGACTCGGCTATTGTCCAGGCCTAGCCAAGATGAGCTAACTGGCACTGTTTTCTTGGAAGGTCCGATGCTAGTCCTAGATGGAGAGTTTCTTAGGGAGAAGTATCTCGTCTGGAAGAATCTAGGACATGCTAAAGTCAGACATCCACAACCCATTTCACTCCGCTAGTAGCTAGTTAAGACTCGATATGACCAGGGAAAGTGATAATGGCTTACCTCACAAAATGCAATAAATTTTGTTGCCACTTAGAAGAAATACAAGCTGTTTCGAACTTCAACCCTGCAGTCAGAAGAATGCTCAGAGTGAAAAGCACACTTTTTGTCACAAATACATCAAATAAATGGTTGACCATTAAGGTTATCAGCAAAGGCTATGAAAAGATACTAGAAGAGTTTTAAATTGGAACGATAAAAGAAAACCATAAATGCATGACTATAGAATAACCAGTCAATAACTATGTGAAACATTAATTTGAAAGGAAAGTCTTTCTTCTTTTTTTCCCATTACATTACAAACAAACCCTTTGAAATCCTTCTACACGAAAAAAAATGCAACCAACAGAAAAAAACAAAAAATGCAGAACTTACCCTGAAATTACTATAAGCATTGCCACTGTTCACCTTATTCTCAAATTGCTAAGGAAGTCTGAAAGCCTGAAAGTAACAGTGATATGTAAGATCAAATCAGTCAGTTACGGACCAAAGGAAATAGAAAACACCCTTCAAAATTGTCATCACAACACAATGAAGAAAAAGTTTGGATGATAGGTGTAACCTAATATTTTTAGCAACCACTGTGCTTCCATCTTCAGAACCAAGATGACGCAGTATCACTTCCTCCAGACGGCCATCACGGTATTGATGCTGCAATAGTGGACCATAATATCCATAAAGCAATCAGGCATGCATTGCGATACAAATATATCAAAGGCTGTGAACCACAACAATAACAGAGACAAGAAAAGCGGAAAAAAGATGATCAGAAACAAAGAAATACTGCTAACTTGATGAATGGTTCTGTAAGAAATATGTAAAGTTTTACCACTTAGTGGTATTTAGAAATTACATTACCAAGCCACCCACCCATGGGTGTGTTAGCATGCAAAGAAATATGTAAAGTTTTATCGGAAACATCCATTATGGAAGAGAACAGTCCCCTGTGACATCAAGTAAATCTGTCACCAAACTCAGACACCCTCCTCATTCATTAAAGAAACCAAAAACCAAATGAACAAGCAAACATATGAATTCCAGTGAAATAGGGTGACAGCACCGTACTAAACGGGAGTCATCCCTATATCATTAGCACATACATTTCAATCTACGCTAAGTTGGATCACGTTTGAAACGCATGCTCTTCCAAAACTAAAATTCTACTTCAGTGTCATTCAATATTTCAACTGAAACTAAAAACAATTGTCAAACTTACAACTAGTTATCATTAGAATGTCCTGGGAAGGATATATTATTGATGAGACCCAAGACAATAAGCACAACCTTCACCAATAGGAAGTGTAATTACGATCGTGCATATTAGATGAATTAAAGTGACGAGTTGGAAGAGTAATAAATGTATATTTCATGGTAACGCAGGTATAAGCATGAGGTTATGGAACTAATGCACAGCGCTAGAGGTGAGAAGGCATTGGAAATCGACGAGCAATCTCTTCTATTAGCATAGATCTGCCGTAGTCAAACACCATAGTATTTCTCTTCTTTGGGTTTATTGGTTAATTTTTTCAATGACGCCAACCAATTCTACTAAGGAAGACATTTTCCAAACCAATTTGTGGACGACCATTTTTTCCCCACTGTGAAATTCAAATACCTGGAAAAATTGCACCAGATCCAGCCATCCAAGGCTAGAACCTCCTCATTTGTTATCATACCTCATACATCATTAAAAATATGAGAGCAGAAAAAACCTATCATTAGGATGGTTGTCTATAAATGTTTGGAAGTACCTTAGAGAGGTTGTAGTAAACCTAACCAAGCTATTCAACGTACTAATAAGGTGTGGAAAGAGGTTAAACCGGTAGAGACGGGGGAAAAATTAAAGAGAGAGAGAGAGAGAGAGAGAGAGAGTACATTGTTTCTGATATATAAGAACAAAAGAGATATTCTAATTGTAGGGTTCAATTTACGAATCGAGTGATGAACCTTTTGGAAAGAGTGATTAAACTATTGACTTTGTATTCATTTTTGACAAGGTAAAGTATTAAGAGTGATCTGAATCATCTACAACGAAGTAATAAAGCTTATGGAAATCTACAAAGAGAGGAAAAAGGATCTCTGCAAAATAATCATTTTTTCCAGATATGGAGTGCTACGAAAATTCCTTCAATTAATGCTAGAGAAGAAAGAAATTCATATCAAATATATAAAATGTCCTAAAAGATACCCATAATGCAGTGGCCATAAGTGTAAGAACAACGAGAAGGAACAGAGAGAGTTTCGCCAGCCGTGCATTCATAATCTGGATCTCCCTTGAGCCTTTACTTGTTTATTCTGACAATGGATGAGCCAACCAACAGTTCACAGGATGAGGTTTCATGGTTATGTCATTGACAAGATAAGTGAAAGTCAAACAGAAACTTGATTAATAGAGAAACACTATAGATAATTTGAGTTTCAGAATAAATAGAACCAAACGAAAATATATTCCCTCCAAGTTTAGCCCCATTCGTGTACTTAAAGTGGCACTTCACTTCGCTGCAAATATATTCTCTTAATCTTTCCTTGACGGATTTATCATTAATAAGGACTCAAGTCATCCAAACATCATTTGTGTACTTCAAGTGGGCTATCAGCAATATTGTTAAAAGCTAGCTTAGCTTAATCCTTAAAGCTCAGTGAAGCTCAGGCTGTGCGCTTGCCTCGCCTAGTATGGCGCTTCAGTGTAGGCATCAAGGTTCTAAGGAGTGCCATCTCTTCACCAATAGCACAATAATAGACAATAAATATATTTGATAAAACGGTACATTAGTTGTTAAAAAACGTCATGACTAACTTTTAGTGATCAAGTATAAGAAATTAGAAATTTAGCATAAGAAAACAAGCCACTAAAAGCCTAAAATTACATCTCTTCATCTAAAACAGAAATCTAATATGGTCTTTTAACTTGATGGACATGATTTTAATTGCATATAAAGCTTAATTATAGTTTTTACTGTCTTTCGTCCAAATAATTATTTTTTGTGCTTATAGATTTCCTTGCAATACATTTCTATATTTTATTTTTTTTCATTGACGGTATTCTTGCTAATGCCCACGCTTTAATGAGGATTTGTGCTTAAAGCCTCAACAAATTTCAGTGCTTTTTGCGCTTTTGACTACTCGAGCTATCAAATCCAAGCAAACGTAACCGGTACATCCATCTTTTAGAATTAAAAGTCCTCAAGTGTTATGGTTTGAGATGTCAATACATCTAGAATCCATTTCTGTAACTTAACAGAAAGAACCTACCATTGTTTGGAAAAAAAATATGCTATGTTTACAGGAAAGGCAACAAACCACTGTTGGCATCAAATTCTGAAGACAGAGACAGACATCATAACATTAGTACCTTGTAGAAACAACTAGCTCCAAATGGGCAAGTCCCATTGCCAAAGTCAAAGTGCTTGCAGTCAATAGACCTGAGCTCAAAATTGGAAAACGAAGAATACATCAGAGAGAAAAAGACGCTTTCCCTAGGAACAAGGGGGAAGGGGAAGCATTTTATAGATGCACAAGTTTCAGCAACATAAAGAGACACCACCCAGAATTAAAAGTTTACTCAGAAAGTTCATGTGCTGTATTTTCTGAGAGCTTAGACATCAAGGTAACAGATTTATTTTCATTATACAGAAATTCATCAAAATTAGATTGAATGCACAGAATAAATTTATCATAGAATAATGAGTATTGTCAAGAAGGTCCATCTTTGGAAGAGTAGCAGCACTCGCCAAATAAATCAAAAAACATATGGGACTCTACATTTGGTAAGTTCGAAGTTGAAACAAATAAAACCACGTCATTTCAAAGCCTAACGAAGCTTTTGGATTGACAGAAAGGCAGATGAAGGTGACAAGAGGATAGGGGTGAGTTAGTTTTTTCTACTCAGTTGATTTTTAGCAAGAGAAACTGAGATAGAGAGAAAGAAGGTCATAAACAAAATGTTTAGTTTCGTTTATTCCAACAAAAAGCTGGTGCAAAGGTCCTTTTGTAATGCCAAAAAGAACAAATACTTGATTAGACCCAAATGACACACATTCCGTTTTTCCTACTCATAATCAATTCAAAAAAGATTTATCACTCCTCTCCTCTTTTTTTTGTCTTCTAAATGGCCTACTATCCTTCCTCTTTCTTCCTTTCTTCCAAAATATATTTAAGAGTCCCATTGGGCTCATAACAATGACTACTACTTGGAAATTAGAAAACTCCTACAACACCATAAGCTGACTTTTCAGATCTCACTACCACTAAATGAACATAATTGTTGTCATGAAAAGAATCTTTCTTTTTTTGGAAAACTGAGAATTCTCCGAGGGCCAACAGGCACACAGTTCAAATCTCCACGGATAATGGGCCACCCTGCTACCCTTCTCAACTTAAATACCAAACTATTGGTCCGTGGCAGGGTTTGAAAAAGTACTCTTATCACCGAACCGAAGTGTTATAGGTATTATCATTATTTTAAATAACCATGGTATCCAGGCCAGCACACGCGTACCTCTACTAATTCCACGGGTTGCTTGTTACCTCCCAAAAGCACAAGTACCAGGTACCTGAAGGCATTATCATCAAATAGATTACCCAACTTATCATTCCCTAATGGGCACACTTGTGAGTTGTGATCATATGCAACAGATTCTCTTAACAAAGTTCCTCTGACGTGATTGAAAGTAGTGCCTAATATGTTAATGAATGTGTTACAACTGCAATTTAAAAAAACCACATAAAATATTTTAGGAACTTTCCATGTTTGTTGCTGTTAGTTAGTTAATTGTTGTGTAAATAAGTATAGTCCTACATAGAATAGGAGTAGTGTAGGTATTGTGCATAGTTATAAAGAGGAGTACTTGTATAATAGTTAACATATCAATAATATATTTTCTCCCGTGCTTTCTCACATGGTATCAGAGTCGTGGTGGAGACACATCCAGGAACTAGAATACAGAGCCAGAAGTCACTGTGCCTCAATTTTCCGGCGACTTTTCAAAGTTGTCTTGCGTCATCTCGCTCTCCGTCAGTGTTGTGCAAAATCCAACACTACCACAAAATCCGTCATCGTCCGGCGACCAAACCCAAGTGAACATCTCCGGCAGTAGCCTTCTCACGCACAATCAGAAACTAGGGTTCCGGCGAGCGTGTGAGCTCATGCGCCGCCGGGTACGACCACTTCCGGCCTTTTTTTGAAAAAGTTTCTTCAGAACAGTTGGGTCGTCTACTAATTCCGAACCCACCCTTACTGTTTTCGTTTGATTACGACCACTTTGAGTTTTTTCCAGCGACTACACTGATTTTTCCGGCAGCTACAGTAAAATTTCCAGTGACTACAGTGTTTCCTTCGTCTGTTTCAGTGGATTACAGTTGATTCTTTCTCTTATTTGGTAATAATTTGCTAGACCTCTCTTCAATCCAACGATATCTTTGGGATTTGATGTTTTTGGGCCTAAAAACACGGGTTCTGGAAGTTCTAGTGTTAGGATTACCTTGGAACCTTTAATAGGAAGTTCTAGTTTGGGCTTCGTCTGTCTAGTTGTGGTGTAAAGGTTAAGGTGTTCAAGATCATCTAATCAAAAAGTCTAGCGAAGGAGGTGAAAATGCCATAGCACTTTGGGTTAAGATCGATGCTCAGTTATATAGTATTCTGTGGCGATCTATTGATTCCAAGTTGATGCCATTGTTTCGTCCATTCCAGACATGTTATTTGGTTTGGGAAAAGGCTCGCACTTTATACATTAATGACATATCTCGTTTCTATGATGTGATATCGCGGATGACAAATTTAAAGTAACAGGAATTAAATATGTCTACTTACTTGGGACAAGTACAGGCAGTCATGGAGGAATTTGAAAAGTTGATGTCAGTTTCTACTAGTGCTGAAAAGCAACAAATGCAGCGACAGAAGATGTTTCTAGTTCTTACCCTCACTGGACTTCCTAATGATCATGATTCAGTACGCGACCAGATTTTGGCTAGTTCGACTGTCCCCATAATTGATGAATTATTCTCTTGATTACTTCGCCTTGCTGCAGCACCAAGTCACGCAGTGATCTCATCACATACTTGACTCCTCTGTTCTCGCATCCCAGACAGTGGACAATCGGGCATCTCAAACTATGAAGAATAGACGAGGAAGAGGTCGTTTTGGAAGATCTAGATCCAAATGTTCTTATTGTCACAAACTTGGGCACACTCATGAAGTGTGATATTCCTTACATGGTTGTCTACCCAAAAATGCTTATGTTGCCCAGACTGAGACTATAGATATCCAGGGATTTCCTTTATCTGAAGGGGAATATAACGAGTTCCTTCAATATCGAGCAAGTAAGCAGACATCTCCACAAGTAGCCTCGGTTGCTCAGACTGATACTGCTGTTGCTGGTAATTCTTTTGCTTGTGTTTCCCAATCTAATACTCTTGGACCATGGGTGATGGACTCGGGCGCTTCTGATCATATCTTTAATAATAAATCACTTTTGTCGAATATTGTATATTCACAGTCTCTTCCCACTGTTACTTTAGTCAATGGGTGTCAAACTAAAGTAAAAGGAGTTGGACAAGCTAATCCCTTACCTTCTGTCACTCTAGATTCCGTTCTTTATGTCCGTGGTTGTCCTTTTAGTCTTGCATCTGTTAGTCGTTTGACTCGTGCCCTCCATTGTTGTATATATTTTATTGATGATTCTTTTATTATACAGGACCGCAATATAGGACACACGATTGGCACAAGGCGTGAATCAGAAGGCCTTTACTACCTTAACTTACTCAATCCTTCCACAGCATATCTAGTTACAAATCCTCCATACCTAATTCACAGACGTTTAGGACATCCAAGTTTATCCAAGCTTTAGAAGATGGTGTCTAGTTTATCTAGTTTGTCTACATTAGATTATGAGTCGTGTCAGCTTGGGAAACATACCCGAGCCTCCTTTCCGTGTAGTGTTGAGAGTCATGCAGAGTCTGTTTTCTCTTTACTTCATTTTGATATATGGGTCCTAGTAGAGTCAGTTCAACCTTGGGATTTCGTTATTTTGTTAGTTTTATTGATGATTATTCAAGATGTACTTGGTTTTTCTTAATGAAAGATCATTCTGAATTATTTTCAATATTCCAGAATTTTTGTGCTGAAATCAAAAATCAATTTGGTGTTTCTATTCGCACTTTTCGCAGTGATAATGCCTTAGAATATTTAACCTCTCAATTTCAGCAGTTTATGACTTCTCAAGAAATTATTCATCAGACATCTTGTCCTTATACCCCTCAGCAAAATGGGGTTGCAGAGAGAAACAATAGGCACCTTATTGAGACTGGTCGCACACTTCTCATTGAATCTCGTGTTCCGTTGCGTTTTTGGGGCGATGCAGTTCTCACAGCTTGTTATTTGATTAATCGGATGCCTTCATCTCACATCCAGGATCAGATTCTGTATTCAGTATTGTTTCCCCGGCCACCCTTATACTCCCTTCCCCCTCGTGTTTTTGGGAGCACATGTTTTGTTCATAACTTAGCCCCGGGAAAGATAAGTTAGCTCCTCCTGCTCTCAAGCGTGTCTTTCTTGGTTATTCTCGTGTTCAGAAGAGATATCGTAGTTATTCACCTATTCTTCGTAGGTACCTTATGTCAGCTGACGTCAGATTTTTTGAGTCTAAACATTTCTTTACCTCTTCTGACCACCATGATATATCTGAGGTCTTACCTATACCGAGCTTTGAGGAGTTTACTATAGCTTCTCCCCTCCACCTTCACCCACAGAAGTCTTACCCATACCAACCGTTGAGGAGTCTAATGTTGCTCCTCCTTGATCCTCAGCCACGGAAACACCACTCTGGACTTATCGTCGTCGTCCGCGCCAGCATCAGGCCCAGCTGATTCTCGTCCTGCACCTGACACTACTCCTACTCCGGACTTGTCTCTTCTTAGTACACTGATTGCACTTCGGAAAAGGTATACTAACCACACTTAATCCTAATTCCCATTATGTCGGTTTAAATTATCATCGTCTGTCATCCCCCATTATGCTTTTATATCTTCTTTGTCCTTTGTTTCCATCCCTAACAGCTTGTTTGGATGGTTGTTACTCAATGTATCGTATTGTATTGTTATCTCAAAACAATGCTTGTTTTGATTGTTTCATTAAAATTGGTTGTATTGTATTATTAAATTCATTGTTCCGGAACAATGAAAGGTCCCTTTTTTGAAACAACCGATTTGGTGTGGTGGGATTGTTTCCTATTTTTCTTTCCAAGTATGCCCTAACTTATTACTCCATAATTCTATTTTACCGTTTACCTTTTTTTTTTAATTTTAACTCCAAATCTCCCACCTACAACCTACTTTGTCTTCGTCCCTTTTTTCCCAGAACTTTTGTCGCATCCGACTCCAACCTAGAATTGCTAATTTTGTTAGAATTTGCATGAAGCAAAATGTTATTTAACAACTGCAAACAATACAATCTATCCAAATATTGTATTTATAAAACGATACAATACAATACAATACAACACAATACATTATAAAACGATAGATAACAACCATCCAAACAAGCTGTAAGTCTACATGTGAAGCATTGTCTCATCCAGGATGGCGACAGGCTATGATTGGCGAGATGTCTGCTTTACATACGAGTGATACTTGGGAGCTTGTTCCTCTTCCTTCAGGTATACCGTTGGTTGTCGTTGGGTTAATGCAGCCAAAGTTGGTTCGGATAGCCAGGTTGATCGACTTAAGGCCCGTCTTGTTGTCAAAGAATATACTCAGATATTTGGGCTCGATTAGAGTGATACTTTCTCTCTCGTGGCTAAAATAGCATCAGTCCGCCTTTTTCTATCCATGGCTGTTGTTCGTCATTGACCTCTCTATCAGCTGGACATCTTCACGGTGACCTTGAGGATGAAGTTTATATGGAGCAACCACCTAGTTTTGTTGCTCCGGGGGAGTCTCGTGGCCTTGTATGTCGCTTGCGCCGGTCACTTTATGGTCTAAAGCAATCTGCTAAAGCCTCGTTTGGTAAATTTAGTACAGTTATCTAGGAGTTTGGCATGACTCGTAATGAAGCTGATCACTCTATGTTTTATCAGCATTCTACTTCAAGTCTCTGTATTTATCTGGTGGTCTATGTTGACGATATTGTTATTACTGGCAATGATCAGGATGGTATTACCAATCTGAAGCAGCATCTCTTCCAGCACTTCCAAACTGAGAATCTAGGCAGATTAAAGTACTTTCTAGGTTGCTCAGTCTAGCTCATGTATTGTTATTTCACAAAGAAAATATGCTTTAGACATTCTTGAGGAGACAAGAATGGTAGGTTGCAGACCTGTTGACCCTTCGATGGATCTGAATTCTAAACTTCTACCAGGACAGGGAGAGCCGCTTAGCGATCCTGCAAGATATAAGCGGCTGGTTGGTAAATTATATTATCTCACAGTGACTAGACCCGACATTTCTTTTCCTGTGAGTGTTGTAAGTCAGTTTATGGATTCTCCTTGTAATAGTCATTGGGATGCAGTTGTCCACATTCTTCCGTATATAAAATCGGCTACAAGCAAAGGGTTATTATTTGAGGATCGAGGTCATGAGCAGATCGTTGGATACTCAGATGCTGATTGAGCAGGATCACCTTTTGATAAACGTTCTACGTCTGGATATTGTGTTTTAGTAGGATGCAATTTGGTGTCTTGGAAGAGCAAGAAACAGAATGTAGTTACTCGGTCTAGTGTAGAAGCAGAATATCGAGCAATGGCTATGGCAACATGTGAGCTAGTCTGGATCAAACAATTGCTCAAGAATTTGAAATTTGGTGAAATCATCCAGATGGAACTTGTGTGCGATAAAGCTGCCCTTCATATTGCATCAAATCCGATGTTCCATGAGAGAACTAAACACATTCGGATTGACTGTCATTTTTTCAGAGAAAAGATACTCTCAGGAGAGATTGCTACAAAGTTTGTGAAGTCGAATGATCAGCTTGCAGATATTCTCATCAAGTCCCTCATTGGTCCTCGTATTGGTTATATATGTAACAAGCTCGGTACATATGATTTGTATGCATCGGCTTGAGGGGAGTGTTAGTTAGTTAGTTGTTGTGTAAATAAGCATAATCCTACATGGAATAGGAGTAGTGTAAGTATTGTGTATTGTTATAAATAGGGGTACTTGTATTATAGTTAACATATCAATAATATATTTTCTCCCGTGCTTTCTCACAGTTGCACTTCGAGACAAGTTACATCCATGCTAATAGTTCTAAAATCCAGTCAGGTTCACAGAAATCCAAAGGAAAAAACAAAGAACACAAAACGAAAAAGGGGAGAGAGAGATGAACCTGAGTTTGGTTTTGTAGCTGTCAAGGATATCTTGCTTTTCTTCTTTTGTGGAGTACCAAATGACACTTGGAATGACAAAATATGAAAGCTTCCGGCATACGGGACAGGTCCTAAATGTAGAGTTGATATCAATCCCAGAGGAAGGAGAACCACTGCGCCAGTTCCTGATACACGATATACAAAATGGATGATCACACTCAGAAAGGATCCCAAACTTCCGCTGTGTTGCAGTTGTCTTGGAGAGTACACGTTCAAGACACACACAACACTCTATTTCTTGACTATGCTTCAATAAATCAAGGTGCTTTTGCCTCTTCTCACATGTTTTCATATGCTCCTCTCTTTCTTGAGGCCTAAAAGGATGCAAGCAATGCTTCGCACAGATTGGACATAAATCTCCATGAATATATGGACATTTTTCTCCCCGTGGACAATTACCAGCAGCAGCAAGAGAGCAAATTGATTGATCAGCTGGATTAATTCTCTTCAACTCAACAAAGTTTTCAATCTCTTCCACATGATGATTCTCTGAACTTTCACTCCATGCAGCTTGGTTGGGAGGGTAAAAAGGTCTGCCTGAAGTTAAATACTCAGCAGAAAGTCCTGCACCATCTGCTAGCATTCCAGAAGATAAGGTGGTGGGAGACGGATTTGAGAGCAGATGTTGAGCTGGAGCTGACGAAGATGGAGGTGAATGCTGTTGAGAAACTTCAACATGTTCGTATCTACACCTGCTGCCATAGGCACATAGTCCTTTTTGGTAGTATGCGCATACCTGCAACAATAATCCAAGTAAGAGCAATTAGATGCCAAAGTGGCTAAGCAACTTTGATCGCCAAAAATAGAATGTCCAGAACATTACATTATTTGGAGGGTCTTTCCAATCATGTGAGAACTCACAGTACTCCCCTTTCAGACATGCACCATGTACAAAGAACTTGCAAAGAACCCTGGAAAATATATAAGCATGTCAGTAAGTGCATATGGCCATCTTCAAGAGACCACAAATTCATTTACAAATTTCAATTAACAATAAACTTTGCTAATCAATATTTTCCTTTTCTCGGCATAAAGTTGTCAATCAAATTCTTTAGTTGTATAGTTATGGTAAAAGGACAAATGATCAGAAAATGCTAGAGTGATGATAATTTACCTCTTCAGATATTACCTTTTAACATTGCTAGACATACTCCATCAACAAAAAAAAAGTAGTAGACACCATATAATAAGCAATTAGTTTAATGTTTTAAGTTCAACTACGCAAAAATTATTTATTTCTTCCAAGTGCACAGCACCTCAAAGCACATGACACAAACCGATGGCAGAAAGCTCCTTAGTGGCATCTTATCAGTCAGGAACTTTTTTATAGTACATCTCAAGTAAATACGACTATTAAATAGGTTGTGCGATAGATTAGACTTACACATATTATATATGAGTGAATACAAGTGACCCACATAAGAAAATATGAGTATACATTGAAAGGTGTGAATATAAGGGCCCAAACATTAGCCATTTGTCTTAATGCGTTCTTTCGATCTTTTCTCCCAGTTCTATGAACTTTTCACGTGATACCAGAACAACTAGTGGTCCTCCACTCGGGTCTCACCACCATCCATATATATGAGAAATATTTTGGCGCACATGGTCCAAGAAAAAAAGAATTACGTTGGCACAAAAGAGGACATGTCACACAGACCTAATTAGAACAAATAAAAATATGTATCCTCTCCCAGACTCTAACTTAAAATTTCAGATGAGGTGGCTCACATAGTTCAACATGGTATCTCTACATTATAAGAATTACTTCCTGTTCATGTAGTTGGATGTTTCAAAGAAGAGAAAATTGTGCCACGTAGTTGTCCACAATCTGCACCTAAAGTTTCTTTGTCTTACGTGAGTGTTGCCCATAAACCAACAACTCCACAAGAAGAGGAACATAGTGCCAGTAAAATCTAAGAAGTCGCACCAAAGTTGAACCTGGCACGCACTCACATACCCACACCAAAGTTGAAGCTTGCACGCACCATCACGCGCCGATCAACTCCCTAGATCTTCATCTTCATGTGCTTCATGTGTTGCCGCATGAATCTATTTCCGACCATACTTTTGTGAGTTTCTTTTGTTATGTAGGATCAACTACTCATTCCAAAGCCACCCACCGCAGTCTTGGAGTTTTCTTACCATTGGAACACTAGGGCGATAACTAACGACGTTTTCTGGGTGAGGTTTAACACAATTCAGACTCTAGGCATTTGTACTCGACTTCTAACAATACTAACCAACCAATTCCTAATTCTTTTGACGACAAGAAACTTGATATGGTAACTTAAGTCAATTCTTGCCGGATTATTTTGGTAACTACATTAGACTTGAATCAAACTTGTGAGTTGTGACCTCTTTTAATGCGTCTCTGATTATCCTGACAAGTTTTCCAATCAACAAACCAATGAATAAGATGTTCCCGCAACTATTTCCAGAACTTATCCTCTTTGTTTCAAGTTCCAACTATTTGATGGTCCTTCAATTTGTCATAAGGATTCAGAAAATTTGGTCACGAAGAAGATGGAATCTATTACTTCTCAACCTTGACATCTTCCATTCAATCACATGACACAAACATTCAATGAACATCACCACAAAATTTATGTTGAAACACATATAATCATACGAATATACATCACCGTAATCAAAACCTAAGCATTACGATTGCAAAATGGAATTAGAAGAAAAAAAAACTATGAAGATCATTCAAATCCTAAGAAAAAAAGGGCAAAATGATAAGGCGAGACCAAACTAATTTATATATAGAAACCTTACCTTTTGGACATGGCATCAAACTATCGACTGAAAGTCGATAGCCTAACACTCCTAAGTTAAATAATTGAAAAGCCAGAGCGAGAATTGAGCGTTACGCTCACTCGCTCTGGCTCGTTTAAGGCGGCTCGTTTAAGGCGGAACGTAGGTGGGGCTAGGGTTTTTGCTTTTGGCGGTTCGATCCCACTGCTTACTGCTGAGGCTAGTTTCCCCCTCTTCTCGACCTACCGTTTTTATAGTTTTTGAGGTGTGGACCCAACGTTAGAAAATGAAAGCTTGGGAGGGCGATTCGGAATATCTGGAATATTTAGTTGGTTAAAAGTGAAAATGATAGTATGTGTTTGGTACGTAAGAAAAATATTTTTTCATGTAAAATGTTTTCATGAAAAATAGTGAGCACATATTTTCTTTTGTTTGGTTGGTGAATATTTTTAAATGTTTGGTTAAAGAGTATAAAATATTTTTTTATTCTTCTCTCCTCACACTCTTCCCCCAAGTCCTCATTTTCCTTGCTTTCTTCCCCCAAAAATACCCAACGTTTTCAGAGCTCTATTTTCTTCAAAAATGTAATTATTCTTCTGAAAATTCACACAAATCCAAAGGAACTAATGTGTTGCTTTACTTTTTTACACAAAAATAACGTTGAAAATTGTGCTCTACAACTAAAAATAAAATATTCTTTTTTGGTTGAAAAACAAAGTACTCTTTCTACAACATGAAAATAAATTTCTCTTTTTATTGAAATAAAAAAAATACTTTTTCTACATCATGAAAAGAAATTACTTTTTTTGTTGAAATGAAAGAAAATACTTTTTACTACATTATTTTGTTGAAGTGAAAGAAAATCTTTTTCTACATCATGAAAAGAAAGTGCTTTTTTGTTAAAATAATTTTTTTTTTATATCATAAAAAAAAACTCATTTGTTGAAATGAAAAAAAAAAAATCTATCTATAACATGAGAAAAAAGTACTATTAATAATATATTTATTTAGGGTAGGGGTGGGGAGTGGGGGTGG